GTCATCTGAACCCCATTTGTAAGGTCACTGGTTGTAGTCATCTGACCCCCAAAGAAAGTCTGGCTACCACTGGGTGATGTCATCTGAACCCCATCTGTTAAATCATTGGTTTGAGTTGTCATCTGACCCCCAGAGAAAGTCTGGTTTGTATTAGGGACCATTGTCTGAGCCCCATAGGTGAGTAACTCACCACTAGGATTTGTCATCTGACTCCTACAGAGACTCAGAGGAGTCTCTCCACTGAGGAGAGTTCTCATCTCATCTCTGTAGACATTCTCGTCACTATTGAGGGCCATCTCCTGATGCCCATGGCAAGTCTGGTCAGCATTGGGGGTCATCGTCTGACCACACCAGGAGGCTCGGTCGTCCCCGGAAGTGACTGGACAGTCTTCCAGTTGGGTTTGATCGCCACTGAAGCTCACCGAACGGCCCTCTTCAAGAGTTGCTAACTGGTCTCTGTAGCGAAGAGCTCGCTTGTCGCAGACTGTGTTTCTCTGGCTGCCCTCGTTGGAGGCTGTCACTCTGCATCCTGTGATTTCGGTAGTCTGACAGTTAGTGAATACTGGCTTGGAGCCATCGATGACATCTGTCACCTGAGAGCTGGCTGTGGCTACAGGTGTGGCCTGACCGGCAGACCCAACTTGTTGGGCTGTAGCAGGAGTCTCACTTGGCTCTGCAAGGGGCATAGAAAGGGATTTCCCAGGATGTGTTGGCTTGTGGGTAAGGATCCTCCAGAGGATACTAGGATGTTTTAATGTCATTGCTGTGGAACTACAGGAAGTCATGGATCTAGGCTGACTTATGCCAGCTGTCCTTTATGGGGGAACGAGGGGTGCACAGGGCTGAAGCTGAGCTGGGTTCTTGCCTGGTCCTTATGTGGCAGGAAGATTCAGAGAAACTCAAGTTACTCAGATGTTTGGAGGACGGAGCTGAGCTCTTTATAGAACTAGATTTTGAGTCGTGAGGACCTAAAAAGAAAAGGGAGAAGGCCAATAAGTCCCGGCTCAGACCCCAGTCCGGACCCCACTCTTCGTCCTCACCGGCGCCACGTCAGTCCATCCCACCACGGGTTCTTATCAAAAGGGTGCTGCTGCCTCTCAAATGCCCTCCCTGACTCTGGAATTGACAACCTGCCCACTGCAGGCTTCACACACACACAGTGACACCTCTAGAGCATCAGCCTGTGCCGCTGCCATCTTCCAAACAATGGTGGAAAGCTAAATGAAGCAAGAGTGTCCCATATCCCAGCAGGTCCAAGCTGAACCTTGCAAATGCCAATATCTTCCAGACAGTTTCACAGAGATATGGGTCAACGACGAAATCAATTCGAGAGGATTAAAACTTTTCTACCAATGAACGCAAGGGTAGGAGTCACAGCCATTACTGTTTTTAAGGAGAAAAGAGCTCCATGCAGTGGCAGACGCCTAAGCAGAGCTACAG